ATATAATTATTTAAATAAGTTCTTCGTATGTTACCACGTGTTACTGTACATGCTACTGCACATGTTACAATCAATTTATTATATTTTACTACATAATCTCAACAAGTTACTACGTGTTACTGCTGTTTTCTATAAAAATAGAAGTATATACTTTATATAAAAAACAGCAGTAACATGTAGTAACATGTTGAAATTTTCAACATATTGCTATCTGTTATTGCTGTACATTATATAAAGTATACATACTTTAATAATTATAAAAAAAACATCAGTAACCTGTTCAAATTATATGGTAAAATATAATAAATACATAGTAACATGCGCAGTAACATGTACAGTAACATGTGGTAACATGTGCAGTCCCTATTTAAAATTTGTTTATATCATATCTCACTCTTCCTTCTATGATAATTATAACAATTTACTGTTACAACGAAATAAGCACTACTCTGTTACACAAGGGTTGCCGAGCGGGGTATGTTGGAGTGTGACCCTCCCCCCCGCCCCCCACCACCAACTTCTGCGAAAGCTTGTCGGTAAAATGGAGATTATGTAGAGAAAACTGTGACCTGTTGGCAAATAAGTTGGTAAAATAGAGTTGGTTGGTAAGGCGAAGAGGCTGTGGAGGAACACCCCCACTTCCCTCGATCCCCCTTTGGGTCGCTATGGTCTTTGTACGTCACTGCTGTTACAGTTGACATCAACAAATAGGGCAGTATTACACTTCCCATAATAAGATATATTCATAAAAAAATTGCATGTCTTGTTATGCAGATTATTATTATAATGATTACAAATGTTTTGTTATGTACAGTTTCATACCATTAAATAAGGAACAGTCTATCAACTTATTTAAAAGTGCAAAAGCAACTGCTGATTTTGTAAGAAATGAAAGAAAACTTCACTTCTGAAGATTCACGATTGTCTGCGTTTTAATCTGCTTTATTTCACCTTCTTCAGATGTTATGAATGAAGTAATGGTCTTTTCACCGAGACTGTTTTGATTCCCAGCAGCCAGGGATATTTCATATGTAGTGAATGGAGTGAGATTGCCTAATTTGTATTTGTTCACTTTATTTGTGGTAATATTCAGGATAAGGGAGTTCTCTTTTTGGAGTTGAATCCAAAATTCTGTAAGATTTCCATCTCCTGTGTTCTCTGGATCTAGCCAAGATATTTCAGCACTTCTTGACTTGATGTTTGTGAACGTGAGGTTTGTAGGTTTATCTGGAAACCGAGCTAGAAAGAAAGGAGGTGAAAGTGTAAGATATATTACTTGCATCTGTATAAGCTTGCTGGATGTACACGTCGAAAAAACTATTTATGTTCTCAGCTAGTTCATCTATTGTACCGGTTGCCTCGCCCATTAATCGCTCACACCATTCCATTTTGCTAGAACCATAACCAAGTTTTCTAATTTCTTTCCACTATTTAGATACTTCAACTTTATTTATACATGGTGCTATTTCACAGTAGATTAAAATATATTATTTACAAAAAAAGTGATCTACAGAAAAAGTGATCTTCCAATAGGCCGTGTGCGTTATACTATAAATATTAAAGAATTTGATAACTTAACATTATATCAATCTACATTGTTTTACCCCAATCTTAAAAGTTGCTAGACTTCCTAGCGAATTCTTCCCAATCGGGACAGACAGCATTCCAAGTCTCCGCACCTTGTAGCCCAATGATTTTTTCATAGCATCAGTATTTGGCATTGGTAATGTATAATTAAATTCTCTATGCCTAGTGTTATGATTATGGACTTCTTGTGTATTGATGAAAATATCGTGCAGGTAGTTTGGAAGCATTTTATGTTTAATCTTGTACATTAATGTAGCAAGTTGTTGTATTCTTGTTTGCAGATCTGAAAATCCTGCCTTGATTAGAATATCTTTTGATCTCGTTTCATATCCTTCACGGGTAATAATACGAAACGCTCTATTTTGGAGACGCTGAAGTTTATCTGATAAAACCTTTCCTAGGCAACCCCAAACTTGGGAGCAATAATCAAAAGCCCCGTTTACACTACGCTCAATTTTTGGTACGGCACGGAACCCGTACTACTTTTTTGGTAAGCTCAAGAACCAGAAAGTAGTACAGTACCAAAAATTGAGCGTAGTGTAAACGGGGCTTAGCTAAATAGGTAGTCCAAGAACCAAAAAAGTGGTACGGGTACCAATTTTATCCGTGCCGTACCAAAAATTGAGCGTAGTGTAAACGGGGCTAAAGTGTGGTTGGATTATTGATTTATAAGCAGTTATTAAAGTAATATAATCAACAATATCCCGCAGTCTTCTAATAATGCTGAGTCCTGAGTTAACTTTTTTTGTAATTTTTTCAGCAGAGGCCGACCAGCATACAGTATCATCAATCATTAGGCCAAGCGACTTAGTCGCATTGATATCGCTATTAGATGTTGCAATTTGGGTGTCATCGGCAAACATATCTGGTCTAGTGTGTCTTAGACATTTTGGAAAATCATTTGAGTATAGATCAAAAACAATAATGTGCCTAATCCCGAGCTTTGTGGTAATCCGGTCTTCACGGTTAGGGGGTCTGACAGGTGACCATTTACTTGACAATATTGGATTCGGTCTGATAGATATGATCGCAACCAACAGAATTTATTGCCTTTTATGCCATAAATTTTTTTTTTTTTTTAGAAGAACGTCGTGGTCAACAGTATCAAAGGTCGTTTTTAAATCTAAAAATACAACTCCATTTTTTAATTGTCCTACGTCCATGTTTTAGTATCATCTATTAGTGATATCTAATAGAGCTGTGGTTGTTGAATGACATGGTCTAAAGCCGTGTCAACTGGGAATTTGTTACTAGGTTGAAGCTATAAGATAGTCATATAATTGGTTATGTATCAGTTTCTCCATAATCTTCGCTATAATTGAAATAACAGATATCGGTCTGTAATTTTCCATATCGTGCTTAGCTCTTGTTTTGTGTATTGGAGCTACCCTAGCGACTTTCTAATCAGATTGGAACATACCAGTTGCGATTGATTGATTAAAAATGGATACAATTGATGGAGTAATTGCTGGAGCTGCGATTTTCAAAATTTTTGCTGAAATTCCATCGATGCCGGATGCTTTAAAGGCAACCAATCCCTGAAGTAAACCTAATATTTCTGGTTCTGCAATTTCTCTAAAACAGGTTAACTGATTTAATTTGATTGGGGGTATATCATTCGAAAGCTTATCTCCCATTTCTACAAAATGCATATTGAATGCATTTGTGATGTTTATCGGATCAGTAATTTCAACAGAATCAATTCTTACTGCTAGAACTGTATTCTCTTCTTTAGACTTGTTAATTAACTCATTAATCGTTTTCCAGGTTTTTTTAAGATCACCTTGGTTATTATGTAATTTATTTTGAAAATGACTGCGGATTGTATCTTTCACTAGTTTATTATAGCGACTTCTTGCGTGGCCGCAGTCGGACCAGTCAGTCATAGACTTTGATAACACTTCTATGCGTTTTAAATAGGTCTTCTCCCGCTTTTTTAAAATAAGATCATTCGTTAACCACGGTATTTGTTTAGTGGATACTTTACGTCTTTAAGCGGGGCATGTATATTTACAATCTTTAGGAATTTGTTTTTCCAAATTGTCCAAGATTTATTAGGATCAGAATGGATGAGATTCAAATTTTATAACGATGTTAGATTACACATAAAGTCTTGTACATTGAAGTGTTTAAAATCCCGATATTCAATAAACCGTGGAGACTGTTTAAAAGTTTGATCACTGATAGTAATAGCTGTCACACCACTAGAAATAATGTGGTTGGTGTTTGTTGTATAAAAATGATCTATAAGGGATGAAGTATCTTTTGTAACCCTAGTGGGCTTTTTTATCAATTGTTCGTATTGATATAGATTTGTAATAAATTTCAATTCTGATACTAGTGACGTGGGATTGTTGTCTAGGAGATCACAATTAATATCCTCTAAGATAAGCTAAGATAACACTTTCTTTGTCTTTGTTATCAATTAATTTTAAACAACTCTCAAATTTATATATATACTGTAAAGTGCTGATTGAATCGCCGGCTTGGCGATCTGTACCATGTTGTAATTAGGAATGGCTTAACTTTGTTTTTAATAATTTCAAATTTTAAAATTTCAAGATCATTATCATTTAGGTCTGGTCTAAGACAATAATTTATTGTATTTCTAATGTAGAAACCAATACCATCCTCAAATCTATTTCTATGTTTGGAAACCCAGTTGTAGCCATGTATTGTTATTAAATCAGGTGCTATGCTGTTGTCCATTCTGCTTTCATTAATTGCAAGGACATCAATTTCATTATTTTTCATTGCGACTCTTAATTCGTCCACATGTTTCGGCAGACTAGTAATATTTAAGCTGGCTATTTTAAACCACGAATTGTTGGTACTAATTCATCTTGTTTGAAGGAGTTATTGCTTGATGTATCAATATTTGGGGTTGCCATAGGAGTTTGATTTACATTTTCAAGATTTGTTTTGTCAGGATTATTAATTATGCTACAAATATGGTAGATGTATTCTAGGTCACTGACCTTTGGAAGACTTAATCAATGCTTTAGAAAGTTGATATAGTTCTTTGCTGATGTTGCTGTACCTGTTATATTCAGGTGTAAGCCAGAGACATTAAGGTTAGGTTAGATATGTTAATATTACCATGCTGGACAATTGCCCACTTGTATTTACTACAAAGTTTAGCTAAATGATTATTCGTGTTTTTTATCTTTATGTTCATTGATTCGTCTTCTCTTTGTATGATTTCGGAAATAGCAACTTTAGATAAACTGTTCGTTACTATACCTGTACAAAGAGATTCCATTTCCTTGACAATTTCTTTTGGTTCTTTCTGGTTGATGTCTTTCGTCCCGGCGTGTAGTACAATGAATTCGGGGTTCTTTTCAATAGTAGGCTTCACATAATGCTTCATATGAGTAACCGATGCTCCAGGAAATGCCTTTACTATGGTCTTCCTGCCGATCGAACGCCTTAACCCTATTTGTACCGGGGTTTTTTTATGTTAGTATGACCGGGTGTGCGCTGATAGGGCGCACCCCTCAGAAATCCTGTCGATTAATTGAAATTATCCTTTCAGTGTTATTTTTAGGAAGTTTTATCTTTCTTTTACCTAAAAATAACAAAAAAGTTAAATTCACATCCAAAATGATGCTTTTTGGCCCCTTTCATTATGACCGCCTATCAAAAAATGGCAAAAATTGCTAATATTTTATCCATTTTGGGTCTTTTTTATAAAAATATAAAAACATTTTGGATGTGATATTTTTTGTTTTATTTAGATTCAAAAGACATACTTTTATGTTATGGCATACCTCTGATGTCCATAAATACCACTATTTTTCTTAACAATCTTTGCATTTTTGAACCATATGTTCCTGGCATGTTGGATTACCACACGACTGGCAGAGTGATTTCACACATTTTATAGAACCTTTTCTTCCAGAGTAACCCTTTCCAGCTGCTGCTTTTTGACACAGAGTGCACCTCCTTCTACTCTCTCCAAATGCTGGGCCATCATCTGCATCGGATTGGTCATTTTGGCGATTGTCACCAATTATTAGCCCAATCTCTTGTTTGACAACCATAGGCAAACAGGTTTGGTTTCGTCTTGCAATATGAGGTTTGACTAATTGCATAACCAACTCAAATCCATACTCAAAAGACTTTTGTTTGACAGGATCGACATTCTTATTCAAGGCATACATTGTGGATGAATTTACACGAGCCGTATCAATCATGTAGGCTAACGCAACCATGGTCCATCTTCGTGACTTGGTTTTGCTTGTGTGAAATGCCATCCGTTGATCAACAATGTCGGTACCACCTTTCGTAAAATCATACAGTTTGTACAATGCCAACTTGTTACGACTGTCGTCTTTGGTTGTACCAAGGATTTGCTTGAGTGTCGATAACATCAGTACATTCTTCTTCCCGCTTGCTGTATCGACAACATATGACGATAAGGACAGTGGACCATCTTTCTGCCAATATACTTCAGATGATAAGTTCTCCCTGTTCTTAAAATCTTTCATTTCAGCTGGAACTCCTTTCCGATTCATTTGCATTGTGCCAAGACATGTTATATTCTTCTCATACAACCAGAGTGCAATGCTAAGTGATGTATATAGCCGATCAAACGATATGTTCCTTCCAGCTAGCGGCACTTTATTTTCCAATAAGCGCTCAATCATTTGTTTTACAATTGCTTCTGTACCCTGTACGTAGTACTTTCCACCGTCGTCTGTTGGCTTACCACAGTATGGAGAAGCAATAAATGTGTAAGGGTACCTTGCAGCATTGATTGCTTTGAACAATAAACCATACTTAGCTGGCTTATTTGGGTTATACTGCTTGAAGGAAATTTGGTTCCTCATGGGATAAAGTGTTTCGTCCAAAGAGAGATAATCATTTGGTACAAGGCATGACATACATTCAAAGTTAAAAGATTCAAAGATCTCTCTTATAGCGACAAAACGGTCTTGTTTCCATCTATCGTCCCTTGTACTCGAGTCATCAAAACACAGATTTGCTCGGATAAATGTGAAACGATTTCTTGACATAGTTGCGCTGAATATTGGTGGACCATACGTATTCGAGAATAACTTATCTACAGAGACAGTGTTTAGTTTGTACAGTCCTCGATAGATATACAAACCAATAATGGCATATAACTCATCAACACAGGTTTCCTTTACGTACGCGTATTTACTGTTTTGGGAAACAAAATTATCTGGGAGTGTCGAAATGAAGCTCTGAATCTTTCTGTTGGTGCAGGAAACAATTGTTGCCATGATATCTTCTGTAAAAAACAGCTCGAATGCAGCTCGGGGTGTTGGAGTAACTCTTGCCTTTGGTTGAGGGCCTTGTCTTCCAGTTATGACATTTGCACGATTGTTACGACCGATGTTTGCTGTTGGTGGTTTATTTTGGAAAACACGGACAACATCATTCTCCCGGTGTTTGTCTACTTTCACTACGCTTTCAATATGCTTCAGGTCTTTGGGAATTTGGTATGGATTGTAATTATTTATATCCAGAGCTTTATCGATACAGTTCACAATGCGATTCTTTGTGAGTTGTCTGCGCTTCAATCGACCTGCTCGTATGTCCTAGTCAGATTCAGAGAGTTCATCCATTTGATCCTCTGTTTCATCCTGGCAGCTTTCATTCTCAGCCTCTCCTTGTCTTTCCATATTTTCTTCATTGCCTGCAAATAAACATTTGTAAATTTGGGCTTGAAAGGTAACAAGATGCTATTCAGCTTTCATAATAATATTTCAAATGATTTATTGTTTTCCACAGTTAGTACATGAAAAGACATACAATTTCAATGACCTGTTTCTCCATATAAACTATCCAAATCACTCTCAACATCACTATCAATTTCACCATCATCACTGTCACTGTTGTCATCATCATCCATGACTCTCATTATATTTGCAATTGCACATTCAGCCGAAATTCTAGCCCTTTTTGGTGGCATAATTACTTCAGTACAAACTGATGAAAGATTCAGGAAAGTCAAACATAAAACACTTGTTGAAAAAAATTATACCATATGGCGAGCACGTTTTTATACTAAGCCAAGATACTATGTGTTACACAAAGTGTAATGAGGGTAGACTATGAGCCTGCAGTACAGTTTTGAAAACACAATATTTTTACAAATATTTACTTTGAAAATCATGTGGATTTATTTGAATAATTTTGTACCAAATTTGATAATAAATTGGCACAGTTGTCATGGGAAAGATAATCATACACTGTGGTATATAATATGCCTCCTGAAAGTTTGGATTTTCCTCAAAGACAAAGAGATGTTATGCCTTGAAGGTACAAAGAAATATGTGTATTTGCAAATATAAAAATATTATAAAAAAGTATTTTATATTTATAAATATTTTATAGCAAACAATATTATATTACATTTTACTACTTTATATAATATATTATGGATATTTACTTTGCAAATTATGTGTAATAATCCATTTTTACATGTTCTCCAATTATAATATGCTATTTATGTCATTGGAATATTTTAAAAGTGTATTGAATATAAATTGTGTGTATTGAATATAAATTGTGTGTATTGAATTTTACTACAATCCGGGAACCATACACATCACTCATCTGTATGAAACGCTCCATTAACTTTCGTACCCAACATATCAAGTTAGGAAAGACTTTCAGAACTAAATTTTATGTAAATTATATTCGTCCTTGGATTATTAAATTCAATCGAGCAAGAAAGTTATATGTTCAATTCTTGCTTGCCATGAAGCAAGAGTTTTGATAATATGACAATATCCACAAATATCCCTAATCCAAAAATAACCCTAAATATCCTTATAACCCTAACCCTAAATACCCTTACAAAATCCCATAACTATCCCCTAATATCCGTCTAGCCTCTTCGAATGATAATCAACAAATATAAAACATTTTCCCCCTTGTTGATATACAGTTATACCAACACGAGTGGGAATTGGGAAAACGAGAAATTGTGTGGAAACTCGATGCTCGAAAGGCGGAGTGTTTTCACACAATTTCGAGTTTTCTCAATTTCCACGAGTTTTCCCAATTTCCAATTTCCGAGAGATATAACTGTATATCAATACGAAAAAAATGTTTTATATTTTTTTATAATATAGCACAAAGAGATATAAAGAAATAAATTTTCCGTGTTCACATTGAGTTATATCAACACGGCTTATAGCCAATCAGCGTTCAGGATCTACAAATGCTATATTATAAAACATCATCCAAAACATATCCTGCGTAGAAAAACCGTCCGCCGGTTTTAATTCCATATATTTTTCATTGTCGCCAATTTTCGACATTTTAGGACCTCCAAACCTTCCTCTTCTGGAAAATGAGGGTATAAGGAATATGTCCCAGACTTTCCGATCGGAGAAAAAATTAGCATTATATGCACGATAATTATACAGTCCACCTAGGTGGGACTGAAAGTTAATAGACAGATTTAGATTGAGGACGCGAACGTCAAGGACGACGTGAAAATGGCGAGTTGTGCGCATGTATGGATACGCCACGCCATTTTGACGCCATTTTCACGTCATCTTTGACGTCCGCGTCCTCCAGAATATTCATAACTTCTTATTTTGTTTCATAAATAGTTCTTTAATATTCAAAACAAATTCCACATCTGCTTCGTCTGCCATCGCCATGTTTACTCGTCCCAATCTACATGTGGCACGGCATTGCCGCCCCTCCTGGCAAAATAATAAGCAAGCGAGAAAAATTAAGGAGAAAAAAAGAGGGTAGGAACATCGTTGTCATAAGCTGGATGCAGTGACACTTCAATATATGGCACAAACCTACCCATAACTTCCAGATATGGCACAAACGTATTCTCGACGGGTTTTATAACGTTTTATTTGACGTAGGAATGACGTAATGCTGCTTCCCTCCTATGACAATTTGAATTAGTCATGTGATACAAGATTGCGAAAGCCGATTCGCCCAGAACGATGACACGTCCACGAAACGCCCACAATGTTCCTACCCTCTTATTTTCTCCTTAATTTTTCTCGCTTGCTTATTATTTTGCCAGGAGGGGCGGCAATGCCGTGCAGCATGTACATTGGGTCGAGTAAACATGGCGATGGCAGACGAAGCAGAAGTGGGATTTGTTTCGAATATTAAAGAACTATTTATGAAACAAAATAAGAAGTTATGAATATTCTGATCTTTTAAACATAATTATAATGCATGAGTAAGTATAATACCATTTCTAGCATTCTATTTAACAACACTACTGACCTGTCCTATTGCCCGTGAACTACCCGAGAAATACATTCAGAACTTCAAAGTAGGGACGAACGGCCTCCGCTCAAAACATCGAAATTCTCTTGTATCTCTCTCAATCCGCAGCCGTTACAGTCGCTACCTACACTGACACAAAATATTCCGATTTTCGTTTACTTCTATTGCAAGCGAATCAGTCATCATATAGCTATATAACCCAGTAAACTTTGTAAAAGGTGAAAGCCGTGTCAACAATTGTTTAGAATGAAACTAGTTAAAGTTTTTCCTCCAGAATGCAATCATCTTTTCCATTTTCGTTCGATGTTGGTACTAATTTCGGTTCCATATCTAAGATAGTCTCCAGAGTGGGCTGGCCGTTTGTCTCTTGTAGGAACATGGCGACGAAAGAAGCCTGTAAACAGAAGAATGCCATGATTCCAAATGGAAGCATCGGATGAATCCTTATCTGAAAGCGAAGACGAATATTGTTATCAAATTTGTGAAAGTTTGTTTTTAAAAAGTTGAAATTGTTGGTCCAACATTTAGTTTGAAATAACAAATGATTGTGAATAAGATTGTAAACATTTGCAAAATACTTTACTGAAAATAGCAAAATGACCAGATAGGGCTGGAAAAATAATTATTTTCCTGTGGACAAAGCCTGAAGACAAAAATTTCCTGCAGACTATGCACCATAGAATAACATATACATACATGGGCCGAGACCAAAATACAAAGGAAAAAAGAACGAGACTAATTTCCTTCTGTCCGGACCGAACAAGCTCAGCCAATGAGTTATTCATAGTTATAATATAGCTAAAAACAAGTCTAGAGCATTTTTCAAAAAACAATGTTCATATCGAATTATACTAATTTACATGTTAGTATTTCATATACCAAAGTAGAATGACATTATATACTAACCAACCAAATTGCATAACTTGCACAAATTGAGCCCACAATTGAGGCCACTGAGCCAAAGCTTAACGCCATACTCCTGATAGTGAAATCACAAAGAAGTCATTTAGTATGAGACAACACAAAAACAGGGAATGAAATAACCCATCATTTCAATATTCTGAGATCTTTTTGCATAATGTCTAAATTTTAACTTTCACTGATATTACTAACCTTATGAATGTTGGGAACAGCTCTGCCGCCCATACAGCCGAAGACGAGTAAGCGTTGGTGATAAAGAACTTTGCAAATATTGCCATTATAATTCGAAAGATTGTATTCGTTGATGCTGAAGAAAGAAATATATGTTCCTATCACGCTGGGGTACTACAGTAGGACGAGTCTCAGCTCGTGATCGTCAGTTAATTATAGTGGAGCGGATAAGCGTATAATTTTGCAATAATAGACCTTACCAATGGACCTATTCCCTATTGAACAAAATTTTGATCCATATTACCCAAGGGAAATTGATACCGCGCTTTCTGAAAGAAGGTATCAATTTCCCGTGCTTAATACAAAATGACAGGTCTATATTATCCGCATTTTACAACATTTCGCAACGAAACTTCGGAATATTACTAATTTTGTGATGCTCTTTGAAGCTGTGATAAAATGTTTGTCTTGACTTGTCTAGATCAAAATTTTGTTCATTGGACAATAGGTCCATTAATCTCTTTTACTCAATGGCCTCGTTTTCATGTTAAATACTTTTGTGCATATTATCACAGAGTATACAGAGGCGGAACTCGCGGCGATTCCTTTGTTCTTTGTGTCCCCATGCAACGTCATTTCCACGCGCCACGCAAATTGCTCTGGCAAGTGTCATTCGTCGTGTTTTCAGTCAAAAGCATAGGCAAAACACCGTTCGAAAGTAGAAAAATAAATATTTTTGCGAAGTTGCTCCACCGATCTTCATTTTGGGATTCAAATTTGAAAGATAAATGGTAAGTAGTTATTTTTATGAAAAAAGATATACGTTTATAGGCTAAATACAAAGAAAAAAATAGTATAAACTTTGTACCGGATGGCCATATTTTACAATCTCGGTGCTTATGATGTACTTCTGCCAAGAAGCAGATTCCCATTTCGCTAATTTAATGCGGGCCAAACGTATTGCAGTGCTTTCCTGTCTTTTACATTAATAAGAAAGCATAGGTGCTGATTTAAAACACTTCCAACAGGTTCCATGTAGCTTTGGGATTTGTGAGCAAAAATTATAAGTTAAACTAACTATGTTTTTATACTTTCTGTGCAACTGTTAACCACATTCACAAATGTATAATTTCTCCAGCAAAGAAACGTTTCTTTACGGATTGTTAATCCGCCTGCACTGCATAAGCCTTCAAAGGTCAGAGATCTTGAACATGCAGAATAGCAGAGACTACAGTCATTGAGTGAGACATCCTTTGTTTGTCACAAAATTATTATGGCATATTGGACAGCTATGTTAGATAAGGCACTTCCTTAATAAATAGCCTGACACATAACTCACATAAGTTCATGCTGACTATTTAAGTTTTGTTCAATTTCATTTGTTTTGTGGTCGGTATCTTCAACTGCTTGGATTAGTGGTGGACTTGTCTGATCATTTCCTGCAGATAAATCAGATTGGCTAGGGTGAAATGCAATCAAATAGGCATCAGAATCTTCAGCACAGCTGCCAATTGAAAGTGGTGTCAAAATATTATCTACAATTTGCAAAATGCTCTGGTGAACTGGATGGGACTAATGGGTTGTCACAATCCTCCCCCTCCCTGCTGCCTAATGAGGCCAAAGAAGCTCTCCAGAGGATCTTGGTTGAGGCAAGGAATGATGTTGGTTAAGGTCTTGAAATGTAAATACTACAGTCTAATTACTACTGACAGTGTAAATACTACAGTGAAATGTAAATACGACAGTGTAGTGTAATTGTGGTTTAAAAATACAAAGTTTATTTTAATCAATGTTTATTTTATTTAACATTTATATGCATTTAAGAACTTAAATTATTCAAAAACTAAATAAATATGTGTTCAATGTCAATGAATATTGCTATATTCTAAATTTTTTATTCCAAAATAGACAATAACTGTTTCCTTTATAGTTAACCCCACATCATGCTTTCATGAAAATTAATACTAAATAAAAAAAGTAGCCAATTTGATCCATGTTTCCTCTTACAGTCTTTGCTTTATATGAAAAGTTAAACACTATGAACAATTGGATTGTTCCTTTTATTGATAAAGAATTTCCCATTGAAAGAGAAAGTATTCCTAATTAATCTTTTCCCTGTTAAAGTGTGCTCTCCCCTTGACGAGTAAAATCGTCTGGTGTTAGACAGAGTAAAATAATCTGGCGTTAGACAGAGTAAAATCGTCTGGCGTTAGACAGAGTAAAATATAACCTGGCGTTAGACAGAGTAAAATAATAAAGTAGGGTGCATCAGGGCACAATGCAACTCAATGGGTTAACTGGCTCGACTACGACTAGTTTCGCGAAACGCGAAGCGCGATTCGAGTTGTCGCGATGCGAATTGAAGAAATTTTCGAGAAACGAGATTCGAGTATCGAGTATTCGCGAAGTGCATGATTTATAAATGCGTTATTAAAAACTGCAATGCCACTATGGCACGTTTAATTGTATTTATTTCAGAACCATTTTGAGAGATATGAAAAACTAGTTTCACATTCTTTTTTCATATTCATGCAGTTCGGATTAATTGTATATACCCTGCATGCACGTGTTCCGTTTATATACTGTAAGAGTAAATGTCGTGTGAACGATTTAAAACAGCAGTTTGCCGTCCTTTACATACTCCTTTTATTGTTTTAAGTTTTTAATTGGCGAGTTTGTATATATTAACGTTTAAAACAACAAAGCGCAAAGATGAGGACTCTGTCTCTGACGAGATTTGCGATAAATTTATATTGCGAGATTTGCGAAAAATAATACAGAAATACTTTATATAAGAATGACATACCTATAGTACGCCAGAGACAAAGAAGGCTACTTGCTGTCAGACATGCCAATGCTTGTACTTCGTTCTTTTAAACTGCTACCAGTCTTCTCATCCCATTGATTAAACAGCCGAATTAAAATATACGCATACCATAACGGCGTAGTTTCTCTCATTTTACATGTTTCCCACAGCCCGCCATCAGAAACAAACAAACAAACACAAACGTATATTTCATCCGGTCGATTTGCGTTTCAAAACCGTGTCAAATAACTGGCATGCAAATGGCGAAAATGTAACACTTGCTTTACTGTATGTGACATTAATATTGTAGTAGCTACTTCTCTGTTAATTTAATACTAGAAAAAACATGTTTTCATTTCGGACAAGGCGCGTATTTTGATCGGGTGTAAAACAACACGGCTCATATTTTAGTTTTATGTAGTTGATATTGTCATACTTTATTTTTGTTGTCATACTTTATTTTTAGTTCATATTGTTATTAATCGGTTATTAATGGATCATTAAGGTTTATACAGGCTTTTTGTCCGTTTAAATTTTGTTATTGAGTAATTAAAATAATTTCACTTTCTCAAAGGCAAAGCATTCATTCGGTTTGAATCTTTAAATTAAAACACGTGTATCTGTGTTTTACTGCTTCATTGACATGGCGTTTCAACTCTGCGAGCATCGACAACTCGACAAGCTGTTACAGTTTCTATCACAAAGGTTTGTTTATAAATTATCTGGCTTTGAAATATTGAAAGAATTATCGCGATTCATGCCATTTTCGAATTTCGACGCTTCGCTATAAGCCTAAAGTGAAACTGTGAACAATTTATGTACCGACAGTGCTGCGAGACATCTATACTTATAAAACGTAAAAGCAAGACAGCGTCTTAAAACCATATCTTGTGCCTCAATCGTTTAAAAAAAACAAGGTAGGATTTCCATACGCCGACATGTATGTTGAATAACTAGCCTTTTATGTTTTTCGCTGCCATGAAGTTTTTGCTCATAAGCGATTTATCGAGCGCGATTCGCGAAGCGCGATTAGCGAAGCGCGTTTCGCGATTACGCGAAAGCAGTAAACAAATTATTCGAGCGAGTCATTGCGCGTAACGAGCGAGAGGTCGCGATAGCGCCCCTCGCAAGCTTTCGCGTCGCGTTTCTCGCTTGAACATTCTCGAAACTCGCTAGAATCTCGCTCGAAAAAAATGTATAGTTTCCGTTGGACGGTACTGTATATATTGTAAGTTTGTAACGAAGTTACCCGCACCATTGAATGTATACTGACCTTTTTTACTTTGGTCAGAAGGAATCATAACAACAGCAATTGAGGCAACACAAGCACAAATTAAACTAAGTACTGTAGTTTTCTTTCGGCCATACCTATATGTAATACGAAAATGAATTAAGAACCTTGCATTAATAATTATCCACGAGCCAACGGCGCGGAGCGCCATTCCGGGCGTTAGTGAGGGTACTAATTCCGCCCGGCTATTCACACCCGGGGAAAGGAACGCACTAGCGAAGTCTAACGTTCATCAGATATCGTGGGCGCATGGCTATGATCCAAGGGTGGACCTCCTCACTGATCTCAAAATTATGGTTGTTTGTTTGCCAGGAGTGGGATAAGCACACTGAGGATATTAAAGCAAGATTTCAATTTTCAAAAGCATATATTTGGAAAATCATGTTTCACACAGCGAGCTTTGAAGCAATTATTGTTTCAAAAAATGAGAAGAATTGATTTACTATGGAAAATCGTGAAATATAGGACAAGATTGCATGGAATGTTTAATGTTTATAAATTTTGTTGCTTTAATAATTTATTGCGTAAAACATGCACTGCTGTTTTCCTTTTCAATGAAGCTGTAAGTTTCCTAAATTACCCTCCTTGTTTTAAGAAAAAAAGATAAATGTAAAGGAGAACAACTTAATTTGAAGACCTAACTGAAATTACTCAAGAATTTGAAGTAAAACAGTTTATTGGGAAAAGCAGTTTAGTTATTAAAATGAACATTTCAAAACATTTTATTAAAGGTTTATTAAAGGTTTATTAAGAAACACATTTTGGCACCCGAAGGTGAATTGCAATATGCTTACAGAAACATAATAAAAGATGAATATCAAATAATATAAATATATCGTATATGTACAGTTGTTAAAATACTACAAATTATTTACTATTAAAATTAGCAGTCATTGCTGGTATAAAACTAGTTTTAAAACGTTCCGTTCTGCATTTAGTTAATGTGAAGTTAGAATTGTTTCTTAAGTCCAGTTCATGCGATTCTTCACGGAGTGGGGGTAAGAGGTGGTTGAGGTGAGCATCGGGTTTTAAGATCTTTTTGAATGTTTTAGCACATAGCTCTTGACGTCTGTCGACAAGGCGCTTGCATTTAGCGATGTTGAGAGCATCTTCGTAATCTGTTGTCGGATAAATAATACGGAAAGCTCTTTTTTGAACTTTTTCAATTTTATCCCCCAAACACTTTGGTAACATGGTGTGCCAGACAGGACAGGCATATTCTAAGATAGAGCGCACCATAGAAAAGTAGACTAGTAAGAGGTCATTGGGGGGAAGACCACAGCGCTGTAGGACACGAATAATGTATAAGCGTTTTGAGGCTTTTTTAACTAACGCTTCAGTGTTATCTTGCCATTTCAATTTATTGTTCATGGTTAAGCCCAAAATTTTGAAAGAAGGAACTAAGTCTAGAGGTAAACCATCAATGAGGAGTCGGGGGATGTTATTCTCGCTACGAACGAAACTCACTATCATTTCTTTGCATTTCTTTCCGTTCAATTTCATGTTGTTATTAACAGTTCATCTTTCAATTGTGTTAAGATCAGATTGTAGGACTGAAACTTAATTTTTCTTTAAGGACTCCGATATTGTTACGTCATCCACGTATTTCCAATGGTCAGTGCTAGAGGATGCCAGTTCAAGATCGTTGATCATAATTATGAACAAAATAGGGCCCAATTTTGTTCTTTGAGGGACACCTGCGTTATTGATGCCCCAATCAGATTGGAAATTGTCGATATTTACCGATTGACGGCGATTTGAGAGAAAGCTGCATATCCATGGAATAAGCGACAATCTGACGCCAAGGGCCAGCAACTTTGGGACCAGGATATTATGGTCGATACGGTCGAACGCTTTACTGAAATCGAGGAAAACGATCCGCAAATAGCTCGATTTATCATCCAATGTTCTCAGCCAATTGTTGATCATATCGATCAAGCAAACGTTGTAGAGGTTCCTTTAAGGCAACCAAATTGTTGCGGGTTGATTTTATGTTTCACGTCATCCACCATCCAATTGACCACAAAGTCCTCAAGAATTTTGGACAAAGAGGCTGTAAGGGAGATTGGGCGCAACTCCTCCTCACAGGATACAGATGGCGCTTTAGGAATTGGTGTAATTAATGCATCTTTCCATATGTTAGGGAATTCACCAGTGGACAGAGATGTATTAAAGATGTGACATACAGGCACAGGGGGTCCAACTAACAGCTGTGTTATGAATAAAACATATTAATTAAACGTAATATGAATAAAACATCATAACGTAATATTGCACTTACTTGTATAAATCATAAGAGCTTGCATTTTAATACAGTGAATAGCTTCAAAAACTTGCTTCGTTCCAAAGACTTCAAATATGGCGAATAAATTGACAAAACGATAATATTACATGACGTTCCAACGAAAATAACAGAAAGGATTGCGGGCGCGAGCGGAAAGGCGAGGAAAGAAATAAATAGAAGGGATGAAACAAATATCACGTGACTTTTTAAAATGCTTCTAGACTATCCGTTTAAGCTTTTTGTGGGGTTTTTAAGGCTCAGTCGATGTTCTCTTACATGAACAAGCCTAGTCATTACCAAAAAAGCACTGATCAATCTAATTTATGTCATTTATAACAGCGAGCATTCTTGGCCATTATCGCGAGATGTGTTCCATAAGTAGCCTGTTCTCGTGACGTATGACGAAATAATAATAAAACTAAATAATGTAAAAAAAAACGTTGGTCGCTACATTTAAATATTTCATATTAGCCGGTATAGCTAAACATTGTTTATTTTCATTAATTAAGCGCGTAGGCGTTGTTGGAGTTGGCAGGAGGCGTTTTGGAATTTTCCGAGAGAACAGGCTACTTATGGAACACATCACACGATCGCATTACCGGTGTTTCATCCCTTCTATTAATATATATTACCCTCGCCTTCCGCTCGCGCCCGCAATCCTTTCTGTTATTTTCGTTGGAACGTCATGTAATATTATCGTTTTGTCAATTTATTCGCCATATTTGAAGTCTTTGGAACGAAGCAAGTTTTTGAAGCTATTCACTGTATTAAAATGCAAGCTCTTATGATTTATACAAGTAAGTGCAATATTACGTTATGATGTTTTATTCATATTACGTTTAATTAATATGTTTTATTCATAACACAGCTGTTAGTTGGACCCCCTGTGATACAGGTTCGGCCAATTCGTACGCGAAATCCTTAATAATTCGGTTAGGAATATTGTCAGGACCGCTGGATTTGAAAACTTTTGTATTGAGCATTTTAGTGCAAACTTCGTCAGGGAAAATTTTGGGTACAGGCCTTGGTGCAGGGAGAAAGGCAGGTAGCAGGAGAGGATTCAGTGGTGGTAGGTCATTACTCACGCTTAAGAAATAGGTGTTAAGTGATTGGGCGAGATCTTTACCAGATAGAGTGGTACCATTCTTAACGATCTTAATGTTATTGGTTGCAGATCTTTTTTTCCCGGACATCTGGTTAACACAGTCCCGCCATTTTCTGGAGTCACTGGATTTTAGGTGTTGTACCTTGTTCGTATAATATGCACGCTTTTTCACTCCTATGTCGTTTCGGACTTTAAGTCTATAGTGACGCCAGAGGTCAAGGTTACCAGAATGAAAGGCTTTTTGCCTTTGATAAATCAGTTTTTTTAATGCAGGCGTCATCCATGGTTTGTCAGAGTTATGAATTCTAATAACCTTAGACGGGAATAACCTATCAACAGCAGAATTTAACTCGTTGGTAAAGGAGGACGCTAGGCGGTCGCAGAGTTTTTGCTTTCGGCATCAGAGAACCACTCACGTGAGCAGCACCATCTTCCAAAAGCTGCACGTGCCGACATGGGGAAGGAACGTATGTTTTTCTTAATTGATTTATTATCTGTTCCTAAAACGTTAGCTTTCGCGGACCATTTAACAATGTTGTGATCTGATGAGCCGAGCGGTGCTATAATCACAGGCTTAGAATTCAAGGCTTCTAGATTAGTAACAATTAGATCCAAGATGTTACCTTCACGCGTTGGGGTGGCCACTATTTGCGTAAGATTGTGATGGCACAGGAGATCGCTGATATCTAAATTGTTGAAATCACCGAGTAAGACAACACCGCAGTCGGGGTGGGTACATCTAACTCGGTCAATCTGATCGATAAGATAGGCCGTTAATTCCTTTTGCTCATTGACTGGTGTATCAGGCGGGTTATATAGGACACAGCAGATTAATCCAGTTAGGTGTCTTGGGAGGCGGTGGGGTCGTAGCCATAACCATAAGCATTCATGAGAGGGGTTTTCAAGGTCCATTCTTCTTTTAGCTGGGATATTTGTCGAGATGAAAGCGCAGACACCCCCACCACGGCTGTAAGATCTATCATTGCGAAAAATGTTGTAATTATTTATGTAAATTAGTTGCTCAGGAACAGTATCTTTGAGCCACGTTTCAGTTACAGCAATAAACTCTATAGAATGTATTGATAGTAAGAGGGATAGCTCGTCTATTTTGGGTAACAGTGAGCGAGCATTTATAAGAAGAAAACTCGGTAATCTTGATATGTTGTTTCGGTTCATAGCCTAGCTGGTCATGTATTGAAGTACTGACTAATTTCAGTTGTCTATGATTATTAATGTAGTTAACGACGGCTTTTGAACGGTTGTTAGTAATTCTCACAGGGATCTTGCGAGTATTAGCGCTAACGACAAGGATTATACCAGTGTTTCTGCATACCGTGCCCTGCAATAGGGGGGAGGGGATTTGGAAGGTGTAGGGAGGGCATAAAGGGGTTTCCATTAGCGGTTTCGGGGGAGATTGAAAAAACCCCGGTCCATTGGGGTGCCATTGAACGCTTTGATGGTAACTGGACCAGTGTTTTCTTTGTTGTGGGACTATAGCCTGTCGATTGTCTTAAAAAGGCGGAGGAGTAGGATAGTTTTTAATAGGCCTTATTGGCTGTATGCTATGAGGAAAAGTGGCGCAATGAGAAAAATCGCACCTAGTACCCTTAAGGCAGAAGCGTCGCTTTTGTAGGAAAGGACAGGGCACCAAATGTTTCTGTTCTTCATGCGGATGTTTGAAGTCACATCGGTTTCCTTTTGCGCACCACCCTCGGCGCCTAAGGAATGGGCAGGGAGTGTTGTGCATTGCACGAGGGTGTCGATTATTGCCCAAGTTAATCTCGTTGTCAGGTTGTGGATTGTACAGGGTGTTCCCAAAAAAACGAAAACTATTGAAATCACTTATTGTTAAATTTGAATGCCCTACCAAACAGCTGGGCGTAATGATGCGTAAAATATTGACAAGGCACATGTATTAGAATTTAGTTAGGAATATCTCCTGGTAAAGTGCGCGATTTTCTGCTCCTGGGAATTAAAAACAGCTTCTTAAACAGTTTCTTTATGCATAAAATTAACTTATGTCAATAATTTATGCATTCGTTGGAACCAACAGAGCGCTAAGCATTCAAATTCTAACAATTAAATTGTTATTGGTAATTTCAATAGTTTTCGGGTTTTTTGGGACACCCTGTATATTATGTTAATCCCTTTTTCGATTTGGTAGTTAGGTCTATTGTCACGCGCTGATTGTCATGAGAAACTGGAACTTGTGTACTATTGAGCAATGAGCGGTTTCATTAGTTGAAATTTCATTAAAACTTGGGTTGTTAATACTCAGATTAGTGGGTTGGTCATTATCTTGGGATTCACATTGGTCATTAACTACATTAGTCATTATGTTAATCCGTTCATTCCGCTGGCTAGCTAGATCTATTGTCAAGCGCTGCTTTTCGTGGGGATCCGGAACTTGTGTACCATTAAGCAGAGAGAAATTTTCCTTGGTTGAAGTTTCAATAAACCTCGTATTGTTGGCATTCAAATTAGTCGGTTGGTCTTTGTCGTGGAATCCACATTGGTCATTAACCTGGGTTGTACTGGCAGACTCATTAGCACGTTCATTATTCACATGGTCATGGCAGATTACTTTATAAGTTAAGTTTTCAAAAGAGGATAATTTAGATTTTAAAATTAAATTATCTTCTGAGAGCTTGAGAATTGCGTCATCCTGATGTCGGATGACACCTTCTAGATCTTTGACTTTAAATTTAAGCGAGCAAATGTCTGACTTATTCCCCTTTATGGTATTGAGTAGCCGGGTTTCCAAGATTACCATCTCGAGTTTTAAACCCTCTATAACTACAGAGCAAGTACTGTTATGACTAGATACCTCGTTTTCAATGATGCGTGACGGACCTCGATCAGTATTCGCTTCCATGTTAAGATCGTTGTTGATAGTCTTCTCCGCGTCGTCTGGCTTTGACAGGATATCTTTTATTCGCTTTACCAAATTTCCCGCTTTGACTCCGTCAAAAATTATTGCTCCACTCTTCGAGTGCCACGTAATCTCAAGGTCTTCGCAGGTGAAGCACCACTTGCCGCCGCTTGGTGATCGCCAGACGGCGCTTTCTGCGGCTTTTTCATCGATTATTGTTGACACAAATGTTTTTATGTCATTCAGGGTTCCACTCCATGTTAATTTGTTTTTCTTTTGGCCGAAGAAACCCATCAAACTCGCTGTCGATAAATTCAGAAAGATATCGGTTTTATCAGAGAGCTCATCACAGAGCTCCTTACAGCACGCCATATTTGTCAGTTTTTTGAAGCGATTGAGGTTAAGTTTTAGATTAAATCAAAGCTCACAAAATCCAAAACAACATACCTACAGTACATATTTCGGAAATTAATTGTTATATAGTTAATATAGGGAAGTTAAAATATATAGTAAAATAAGCAATTATCGTGTTGCCACAGAATACTACATAGAAGTACATCTTCATTGTTTTGTTGCGTAAGCGCTATTCGTCACTCATGCAGCAAGTATCGTAAACAGAAGCAGCCCCCCCCCCCACGTGGAAATACCTAAAATGGCACACGTCCAGGGGGTGACTGCTTCTGTTTACGATACTTGCTGAGTGACGAATCATGACGAATAGCGTGTACACAAAAATCAATGAAGATGGACTTCTGTATAGTATTCTGTGGTGTTGCCATGGCAACACTGACGTACGCGCGAGCCTGCGTTCAGTGTTGATCAATTACTAATATGCATGTCATGCTAAATCAATGTTTGGAAAATATGGGCGAGGGTTTGCTGCATGCATGTATTTGTAGTTACGCATATAATTATAAGTAATAGCATGGCATTCAGGTCGATTAGTGATTAAATGTACCCGAAAGCCGAGAGAGGTTTAGTAAAAGTTTTAATAAACCTCTCGAGGCTTGAGGGACATTTCATCACTAATCGATCGTAATGCCATGCTATTACTTTGTAATATCATAGTTGCCGAGGGAATCGCGCGTGGTGTGTTGCCTGTTTTGAATGCTGTTTGATTGTCTTATGATTGTGGTACGAACACTTTTCATATATACGCACACGCAGAAACACATCTCCGTGTTCATTCGTTTTAGGCATGCGCATAAACGGAATTTTCTCCCACAATTGTAATGTTCAAGATTAGGGAATAAAAGCTGGCAAAGTGATTGTTCGAATGTGTATGGGACGGTGTCGTCAGATACTGTCCATAGTTGTGCCGATGATTTTCGATGAGGTACAGCTCTCCAGAGGTAATGAGTACCGCTTTTGTCTTCTAAATTTCCCTCATCAAGCATGCAGGGGAAAATTAGAAGACAAAGAAATCCTTTGTTTTCAACTAAATTTACCGGGTAAATTTAGAAGACAAAGCGTATGCATGGGTAATGAGGTAAATTAGTGATTAATCGTACCTCGCGAGACAAAGGATTTCGAGGCAACTATGATATTATTATAAGTAATAGCATGGCTTGAGGGAGATTAGTGATTAAATGGCCCCGTAACCCGAGGCAGGTTTGCGGAATTCCCGAGGGCGAAGCCCGAGGGAATTCCGCAAACCTGCCGAGGGTAAGGGGTCATTTAATCACTAATCTCCCGAAAAGCCATGCTATTAGTTTGTAATAGCATAGTTGCGCTCCCATTTAAAAATGGACAAACATGCCCTACTTGGAATCAGTGTATTTAAGCTAAAACATTTGTTTCATTGCTTGTGGGATGTAAAAGCTTGTTGCACATGCGCACTTTTTACGCTTTAATCGGTTACGCATGCGCAATCTATCATTTAACGTACCACAACAAAAACGCTAAATATATTAGTATAAAATTGGAGACTGTACGTGCGTAATTTAAATGATGCGGCAACTCAGGGATCGGATGATAGACTATTGACGGCTCTGAGCTAACTGTTGCTGTTCCTTGCACGATTATGTGCGTGAGGCACTCGCCTAATGCGTAGTCGTCAGGGAGACAAAGGTGTGACCCTTGGTAACGGGCGATTAGTTCTAATCGCCCGCTCTAGCGGGCGATTAGAACTAATCGCCCGCTACAGCGGGCGATTAGTTAGTAATGGTACCTGTTGAAACAAAAGAAACCCGGGCAACTATGCTATTACTATAAATTACACTAGCTTGCCCGTTGCCCAGATTACGGAGTCAAATAAAGCTAGGCTTGTCACTTAGAAAATTTTTGGCTAATCGAAAAAAATTTTTCGTCATAGACCGACTTAGAAAGGTTCAAAACGCATATTAACGGAGATAGGTTTGGCTCAGGGGAATTTTAAAGCACATTTTCACATTGCTATCATAGCACTGAGCAGTATGCAAATCAATCCTTGCCCGTCTCGATTACTATAAATTACACTACCTTGCCCGTTGCCCAGATTACGGAGTCAAATAAAGCTAGGCTTGTCACTTAGAAAATTTTTGGCTGATCGAAAAAAATTTTTCTTCATAGACCCACTTAGAAAGGTTCAAAACGCATATTAACGGAGATAGGTTTGGCTGAGGGGAATTTTAAAGCACATTTTTACATGGCTATCATAGCACTGAGCCGTATGCAAATGATTCCTTGCCCGTCCCGATTACTATAAATTACACTACGCTTGCCCGTCCCGATTACTATAAATTACACTACGCTTGCCCGTTGCCCGGATTTCTGAGTCAAATAAATTTTTGGCTGACCGAAAAAATTTTTTCGTCATAGACCAACTTAGAAAGGTTCAAAACGCATATTAACGGAGATAGGTTTGGCTCAGGGGAATTTTAAAGCACATTTTCACATTGCTATCATAGCACTGAGCCGTATGCAAATCAATCCTTGCCCGTCTCGATTACTATAAATTACACTAGCTTGCCCGTTGCCCAGATTACGGAGTCAAATAAAGCTAGGCTTGTCACTCAGAAAATTTTTGGCTGATTGAAAAAATTTTTTCGTCATAGACCGACTTAGAAAGGTTCAAAACGCATATTAACGGAGATAGGTTTGGCTCAGGGGAATTTTAAAGCACATTTTCACATTGCTATCATACCACTGAGCCGTATGCAAATCAATCCTTGCCCGTCCCGATTACTATAAATTACACTACGCTTGCCCAGATTACGGAGTCAAATAAAGCTACGCTTGTCACTTAGAAAATTTTTGGCTGATCGAAAAAAATTTTCCGTCATAGCCCGACTTAGAAAGGTTCAAAACGCATATTAACGGAGATAGGTTTGGCTCAGGGGAATTTTAAAGCACATTTTCACATTGCTATCATAGCACTGAGCCGTATGCAAATCAATCCTTGCCCGTCTCGATTACTATAAATTACACTAGCTTGCCCGTTGCCCAGCTTACGGAGTCAAATAAAGCTAGGCTTGTCACTTAGAAAATTTTTGGCTGATCGAAAAAATTTTTTCGTCATAGATCAACTTAGAAAGGTTCAAAACGCATATTAACGGAGATAGGTTTGGCTCAGGGAAATTTTAAAGCACATTTTCACATGGCTATCATAGCACTGGGCCGTATGCAAATCAATCCTTGCCCGTCCCGATTACTATAAATTACACTACGCTTGCCCGGATTTCGGAGTCAAATAAAGCTAGGCTTGTAACTTAGAAAATTTTTGGCTGATCGAAAAAATTTTTTCGTCATAGATCAACTTAGAAAGGTTCAAAACGCATATTAACGGAGATAGGTTTGGCTCAGGGGAATTTTAAAGCACATTTTCACATTGCTATCATAGCACTGAGCCGTATGCAAATCAATCCTTGCCCGTCTCGATTACTATAAATTACACTAGCTTGCCCGTTGCCCAGATTACGGAGTCAAATAAAGCTAGGTTTGTCACTTAGAAAATTTTTGGCTGATCGAAAAAAATTTTTCGTCATAGACCGACTTAGAAAGGTTCAAAACGCATATTAACGGAGATAGGTTTGGCTCAGGGGAATTTTAAAGCACATTTTCACATGACTATCATAGCACTGAGCCGTATGCAAATCAATCCTTGCCCGTCCCGATTACTATAAATTACACTACGCTTGCCCG